GCCAACGATGCGGCCCGGACCCGGGCCCGAAACCCGGTTTGGCCCGGGCCAAACGCGGGGCCTGAATGGACACCCCTAGTGCACAATATTTTTTTACCTCTTTTATTTTGTTTCTTTGTGGTTATTTTTTCCTTTCAAATTTGTTTGACAAAAAAAAAACGAGAAAGTTAAATAGAGTTGTTGTAATATACTAAAGAAATGAAACAAGAGACAAGAGACAAGAGAAGAAGAGAAATTGTAATCTTTTATTCATATCTTCCATTTCCATACATCGTACAATTTATAGATACATGATGGAATACAAAAGGACATGTAATTAATAGTCCACATACAAAGTAATGTCCACATACATTTTGTCTTTTAGATATCAACAAAATGTCTTTTAGATATCAACAAAATGTCTTTTAGATTTCAACACTCCCCCTTGGACATTACTTCGAAATGTCAATGCCTCGTTAAAAACCTCGCTAGAAAAACCTAGTGGGATAAAAACTAGTCGAGGAAAAGAGTACACGACATTAGTAGATTCTTGTTGCATTAGTTACCTCATTAAAAACCTTTAACTAAGAAAACCCTGTGTGACAAAACTTAGCAAAGGGAAAAAGAGTACAACTATAGATCTTGGGGATCCAAACTTGTGTTGCATTAGTTGCCTCATTAAAAACCTTTAACTAAGAAAACCCTGTGGGACAAAACTTAGCAAAAGAAAAAAAGAGTACAACTATAGTTCTTCAAGGCATAATCTTCGGGATTGCGTTGAAAATTTACCCCCCTGATGATGACAATCTTCTGAGTCTATGCTAAGAAAAACCCAGTGGGACAAAACTTAGCGAAAAGGGCAAATTATGATAATAGACCTTCAGGGCCCAATCTTCAGGATTGTTCTTTAAAATTTTGCTCCCCCTGAAGAAGATAGTCTTTTAAGCCTATGCATATTGTGAACATATTTCTCATAAGTTGACGTAGGCAGAGATTTAGTGAACAAATCTGCAAGATTGTCACTTGAGCGAACTTTTTCGATGGTGATTTCACCATTCTTTTGGAGCTCATGTGGATAAAAGAATTTTGGCGTAATATATTTTGTCATGGTTCCTTTTACATATCCACTGCTCATTTTTGCAACACAAGCTGCA